CCCCCCCCCCCCTTTCCTCAGATACTGAAGCGCCTCGCGCGCGGGTTCCCCTCGGGAGGACAATCCTTGCGCCTTGCTCCGCCTTTGATGTGGGGGAGATCTTCTCTGACAACCCACGGGCCACTTCCACTCGCACCTTTTTCCGGCTGTGGAGCTTCCACTTCAGCTTTCAATCCTTTCGCCACCGCAACAACCTCGATATTCTCCCTTGACACCATTCACCGCCAGTCCCACCTATCCCCAACCCAGCATTTAATCCAGTTCTCTGGCTTCAGGAGTAGTTTAAAAGAACAGGGTCCTGAGATAGTAGCAAGATGTGCAAAATCAGTGCTGCTCTCAGTCAGGTGTGGTCATATCCACAGTGGTAGTCAGGTTCTCTTCCTTCTGGCTATTGGTCAGCATCCATTGCCCCATTACTCTTTCCCAGCTGTCTTCTCAAGATTCCTGTTGCTGCTCCCCCTTTTTATGCTTTCCAAAGAACTTATATAAAGGGATTCGGAATGTATCTGTCCATCAGCAGAATAACTCCAAAAAAAGGAAGGATACAGGACCAAATTTGTATGGCAGGAGAGGCCAGTAAAGAAAGACCAGGTTCAAATAGCCAGCAGCTGTGGAGAGAAAGCCCACCCCGTACATGGGTGTGGGAGAGGCAGCTGGGCTGCAGTGGGGAATGCCGCTGGTTGTCCCAGCCTACACCCCACGGCCTTCTGGTCATGGGGCCGGAGTGGAACACTGTGGTGCAGCGTTTGATTAGGCCGGGGGAGACCAAGGTTTTAATGCACCCTAAGTGACAGTAGCTCACTGGGTGACCTCGGGCCAGTCACTCTCTCAGCCCACCCTACCACACGGGGTCGTTGTTGGGGGAGCATATGTGTGAAATGTACCTTGCCTTGAGTTCCTGAACGAAAGTCAGAATATAAATCTTAATAATGATTATGATGAGCAATCTACCCTATGCTTACCAGTACACGTGTATACAACTAAACACAGGCACAACATGAGGGCAGAGCAGGAATACAGACAAAAGAGAGACCACCCATAAACACATATGGACCCATCCTGATTAGTTCCTAGGGGGAAAGCGCGTGCACACACCCACACCCACAAATGCAAGGTGTTGTTTATCTACACAGAACAAAATAGGTTCAGTACCTTCTATAGGCACTGCTGATAAAGGGATTAGAAAGAATTCAGAAAACCATGCTCCACATGCTTGTTTAAAATTAGGATATTTATCTGTACTGTATAAAAGCTCCATTGCTTCTCCCAAGCTATGTTACTGACTCTTGCCCTCCCTCAGCTACCCAGAACAAAACACAGAACAGAGATGGTTTTTCAAAGCAATGAAATATAGAGCCGAGGAACGGGGGTGGGAGTGGGAAATGCTTTGAAATGTCTATGGACTCCTTTGTCAATTTCATTGGCTTTCTTTAGCATGATCTGGTTAATTTTGTTCTTCAGCCC